TTTGGAGTCATCAGGTCTAGGATATTATACATCACCTTGTCTGAAACACATAGACAAATCAATGCTACAACCTTCTTCTTCATCTCTGCCTAATAAATATCCTCAATGTCATTTAGTTTTGTCTCACGCAATGCCTTTTGTAAACTTTGTCAAGCTAACAATCTTTATAATCGTATTTTGGCCAATAGTGCCTACCTCTACGACTATAGAGTATGTATAATTTTTTTTATTTATATCTTATGAATTTAATGGATTACAGTGTTACAAGATATATATATATATATATATATATATATATATATATATATATATATATATATATATATATATATATATATATATATATATATATATATATATATATATATATATATATATATATATATATATATATATATATATATATATATATATATATATATATATATATATATATATATATATATATATATATATATATATATATATATATAATATTAGGGTTGAGATTATCTAAAACCCTATTCCCTAGTTTCCTTCAACAAACATTTATATTTATCCATAATTATCTCAACAATATGAGTTATCCTCTCAACAACCTACAACTATTTCAATAACTCATAATTATCTTAACAATATGAGTCAAACTCAACAATCTCCATCATGGCGAATATCAAACCCCTATGAAGACTTTATGCATGACTATTCATCCTAGAAACTGGGGAGGTGCACCTCCTGCTTAACACTGAGAAACATGTAACAAGTCCAACCAATGCATGAACTTGTCATTGATGACTAGCTTAGTCAACATATCAAATGCATTCTCTAAAGTATGAACTTTTTCAAGTAATATATGTCCAAATGCAAATGACTCTCTAATATTGTGAAACTTCACATCAATATGCTTGGTGGTAACATGATACACTTGACTGTTTATTAAATAAATGACACTTTGAATATCACAAGCGAACTAAACTCCACCTTTCTCAACACCCAATTCTCTCACAAATATTGTAAGTCATAAGGTTTATTTTGTAGCTTCACCCACCACCATGTATTCTACCTCAGTTGTCCAGAGGGCCACTATGGATTGAACCAATGATTTCAAACAAATAGGTCATTCTGTTAAAGTAAAGACATATCCAGTTGTAGACCTCCTATCACCCATATCACCAATATAGTCAGAATCAGCATATCATACAACTGAAAGATCACTCTATTCACTACTTAACATGATATCATAGCTCATAGTGCCCTTCAAGTACCTGAAAACCCACTTGACTGCTTCTCAATGATGTTTTCTTGGTTTGGACATAAACTTACAAACTTGACTTACAACTTGTGTTAAATCTGGTCTAGTGCAAACCATAACATACATTAAACAACCACCATCATGGTTATAAGGGACCTTTGACATATACTCAACTTCTGCATCTATCTTTAAAAACTGATCTAATGAGAGTTTAAACTGGTTCTCAAGTGGAGTACACACATATTTCAAATTACTCATTCCAAATTTGTCTAGCACCTTTTCAACATAAGTTTTTTTAGAGAGCTATAATTTCCTGGCACTCCTATCCCTATGAGTTTCCATATTAAGAATCTTCTTAGCAACACCTAAATCTTTCATGTCAAACTCCTTTTGTAATATCATTTTTCAATTCATTTATATCATATAAATGACTAGCAGCAATAAACACACACACACATACGCACAAACACACGCACACATACACGCACGCGCATACACACACACACACACACACACACACAAACACACACATACACACGCACACGCGCGCACACACACACACACACACACACACACACACACACACACACACACACACACACACACACACACACATACACACACATATATATCATCAATATTCAACATACAATAATAGAAAAAAGTACATCATTAAGGCTCTTAACATGCACACAATAGTCATACTCACACTTTATGTTGTCAATCTTAAGCATGTATGAATCAAAGTGTTTGTACCATTTTCTTCGAGACCACTTTAAACCATTCAAAGAGCTCTTCAATTTACAAACTAGTCTGTCATGTCCAGTGACACTAAATCCAACTAGGTGTTCTATGTAAATTTGCTCATCTAGATTACCGTGAATAAATGATGTCTTCACATCCATCTACTCTAAGTGCATGTCTCGGCTGGCTACCAAGGCTAATACTTCCTTGATAGAAATGTGTCTGACAACTGGAGAAAAAATCTTATCATAATGGATCCCTGTGTATTGTAAGTACCCATTTGATACAAGACGAGCCTTGAAGTTTTCCCCTTCTTTTTCTGTTACTGTTGGTTTTCTTTTGAACACCCACTTACAACTGATGACCTTTTTCCCATTAAAAAGCTTAATAAGCTTCCATTTTATTTTTCTTCAAGGACTCCATCTCGTCCACCATTTCACCCATCCATGTATCTTTCTCTTGGATAGCCTCTTGAAAACTAAAAGGGTCTCCAAAACTAGTAAGAAGTGCATAGGCTGCCAAGTCTTCATACCCATATCCTTATGATGACTTTGTTGAATAGTTCTCGTTGTCACGTACAAGAACATAATCTGGTACTCCACCTAAAACTTCTGGTTCATGGTCAATTTATGTCTATTTATAGTCGATGTGAGACTTTTAGCCACTCACACTTGAATCCCAACAATCTCCACTACAAGTGTGAGTCACCCACATCAATAGCCTTGATTCACACTAGAATCCACTTTCGCTCTTCACTGAGTCTAACTAGGCTCTGATACAAGTTGTTGGGGGTGTCCGGGGAGTATCATAAGTTTCAATGGGTCAAATGTTCGGGATCATAGAGACTTTAACGCCACATAACCACCAAAAACCTTAAGGTAATGGAAGTATGGGTTTTTATAAATCTAACATTTCTTATATTTCTAGTCGATGTGGGACTTAACCACCCACACTTCAATCCTAATCATATCCCCCACAAGTGTAAGTCACCCACATCACTAATCTTGATTCACACTAAGATCCATTTTCGCTCTTCACCAAGCCTAATCAGACTTTAATACCACTTGTTGGGGAGTTTGTGGAGTTCTAGAAGTGTCAATGGGGCAAACGTTCAGGATCCAAAAGACTTTGACGTCACATATCCAATCTAAACCTTAAGGCATTAGGGGTATGCGTCTTTACTCTTATGTATCCAACATTTCTTCTATTTCTAGTCAATGTGGGACTTTTAGCCACTCACACTTGAATCTCAACAATCCCCCTGCAAGTGTGAGTTACCCACATCACTAGGTTTGATCCACACTAGGATCCACTTTCGCTCTCCAACTGAGCCTAACTTATAAGATCTGATACCACTTATTGAGGAGTTCTAAAAGTGTCAATTGGCCAAACGTTTAAGATCCAAGAGCCTTTGACATTACATATTCACTTAAAATCTTAAGGCAACAGGAGTATGGGTCTTTTCTCTTATAAACTCAACATTTTCTCCATTTCTAGTCGATGCAAAACTTACATCCATTCACACTTGAATCCCAATGGATTTAGATTTTATGACCACATGGAAGAACATGAGAGTAAAACTTTGACCCTTGTCGAATATATGAAATCATCTTATGAATTATAATTATACATAGTATAATCTCTTAATCAAACCACTAAAATATGACAACAAAGCATAATGATAGATGATTTATAAGATTAATTGCCATTATGTTGGATAAATTACAAAAAAAAATAATCGTCATTGTGTTGGATAAATTAATTTTTATGCATATATGTGGGTGGTGGTATGCACATCTTTTGACCAAGGAAAAATATTGATATTGTATTTAATGTTTTGAATATGTCACACCTTTTTTTTAATTTAAAATAAATACAGAAAAATTATTTATCAAATAAAATAACATTAATAGTCATTTAACGATTATACTAGAAAATATTCAAACTCTATTAGTTGTAACTAAAACCAAAAATTTACCATCGAACTAGTAACTCATGAACATGCATGTTACCTCATGAAACTTGTTTTCTTGTTTTCTAGAATATTACTACTTTTTTTTTAGTTATGCATGAAATTCCAAAAATATTAAAGATGTTGACAATTGGACTTTTCAAGATTGAGAATTTTTTTTTAATTATAATATTTATTACAAGTTTAAAAAATTAAAAATATGTTGATAAATAAATAATAAAAATAAATAAAATGTTAAAGGTATTGTATATAAAAAAGAACAAAGAAAAACCATAAGAAAATTCTATCACAAATTTACAAAACTATATTTATTAAATAAATTTAGCTATAATACAACATTTTACACTAAAATATGTTTGCAATAGTTATTTTAACAAGTGCTTTAAAAGCACTTGTAGCCGTTTCTAATTAATACGAAATTAACATAATATTAAATAACTAAATATTAAATATTAGAATTAACACAATTTTAAATATCAAAATATTTTTATAGTTGTTGATTTATAATAATTATCAATAATTTATTTACCCTAATATAATATGTGAAGAAAAATTATTGATAATGATTGAACCTTAGACCAATAATTTTCATTTATCTCATTCAACTATGACATATCAATTCATTTATCTCATCGACTAAATCATCAAAATGTTTGTAAAATTACTAATGTTAAATAAAGAAATAAAAAAATTTTAATAATTAATTGTAGTCTGAATTGAGATACTCCATTCCCTATAAGAAAACAACAGATATTATTGTATTGGAAATTGGTTTAGTCATCCTATTTATTAAAAGGCTCACCCTATTAAAAATTCACATAAAAAACATTGTTTATACTATGCATTTTTCTTTGTTCATTCACGAGTACAAATTAATCTAAACTTTGACTATTTTATTTATCTGATCCAGTAGTTTATTTAAAAATAAAATAAAAATCTAAACTTTGACTCTCATTAATATTTTCATGAATCCAAAACTGTTTACTTTTCCAACACACTTCACTCCACCCTTTATATTCTTCCCCCTGCCACAACCTTCAAACAAACACAAAAATGGCACTTTCAATTTCTTCATGGAACTTCATCCTATTTACCCTTCTTTTCTCTTTGGTATCATCCTCTTAACTATTTTCATACCTTTTTTATTAACAATTTTTATTCATTAAGAAAAATTTACATGATATTTCCACTTGAATAATTTTTTTAATTTTTTATTTTTTATTTTTATTTTTGCAGATTATACAGGAGAGTTATGGTAGAAAGATAAACAATATCATGGAAGTTGAAAATTCTGTTCATAAAGAACACAATTCTCGTGAGGATCATCATCTCTATCATCATCATCAAAGTCATATAGAGCCAGAATTGAACGTATTTTTCGTTCCGAAAGATTTAAAACTCGGAAAAATAATGCCGATTTATTTCTCCAGAAAAGATTCATCAAAATCTCCAAAATTTCTCCCAAAAGAAGAATCAGATAAAATCCCTTTTGCGCCCGAAAAACTCCCTCTCCTTCTTGATTTCTTCGCGATCTCAAAAGCTTCACCACAGGCCAAAGCCATGAAATACACACTCGACCAATGTCACTTTGAACCAATGGAAGGAGAAACAAAATTCTGCGCAACGTCGTTAGAATCACTATTCGACTTCGCAAACTCCATGTTTGGTTCAATCTCAAATTTCAAATTCTTGACCACAAAACATGTCACAGAATCCACCGTCCCTTTACAAAACTACACGATTTCGAAAGTGAATGAAATCTCAGTTCCTAATGCTTTTGGATGTCACCCTATGCCGTACCCGTTTGCGGTGTTCTACTGTCATACGCAAAAGGGTGATGCAAATTTGTATGAAATTGTTGTTGAAGGTGAAAATGGTGGAATTGTTGAAGCTGCGGCGATTTGTCATATGGATACATCGAAATGGGACGCCGATCATGTCGCCTTTCGTGTTCTTAATACTCGGCCCGGAAAATCTCCGGTGTGCCATTTCTTCCCTCCTGATAATCTTGTTTTGGTTCCTACACCATAAATAATGGTAGTTTTTTTGTGTATGAAAAACTTGTTTAATATAATAATTGAGGATCTTAATGCAAAACTAAATAATAAAGATGATGTTTTGGTGTGATTTTATGTTCTTGTAGTTCTGAGTTATATTTTGTATATGGTGATTTAATTAGTTATGGATGATGTTCATTTTTAAGTTTATTGAAGAAATTATGTGTCTGACATTATTTATTCAATTATCTGATAAATTTCTTTTTCTTTTAATAATGATAGACGAAATTCTAATCAGTCATGTAATCGAGATATCGCTGTTTGTTTGAGTAAGATTAAAATTTGTTTTTGCAAACAAAAGTTGCTTATGCAGTAAGTTTTTTTTTTTATGAAATCTATTTTATTGATTTAAAACAGATAGAAAGAAAAAAAGAAAAAAAACTCAAAAGTCAAATCTGATGACATGTTATTTTAAAAAAATATGATTATAAAAACTCTAAAGTCAAAAGTAGTGTTGTTGTGCATACGCATCTTGTTAGGTAATATCCAACTATAATATTCCATATATACCGTATACAAAAAGTAGGCTGAGTTTGACAAAATTAAGTTATGTAAAAAAGAAAATTGACTATTTATTTATAAAGAATTATGAAAAAGTGTACTACAGATTGCTAGGAAAAAAACTGTGGGTTGGTTGGTTACAAATCAGCAAGGTCTCTTGCGGCAAGCTTCAACGGTGGTTGATGTTGCTGTTATCAGTTCTTTTGTTGAGATTTGGCGTTCCCGTAATAAAACCAAACATGGTAGGCAAAAGCTAATTGTTGCAAATTCTAAAAGTAGAATTTTGCATCAAGTCCAACTTTCTAACACCAATAGCACTAAAGCGTTATTCTTAAATACGAAAATTGTTGGGTGAAAATATCGAAATATGTGTCTTTGACAAGTTTGATAGACTTAGTTTTATTTGTTTTTTTTATCTAAGTCTGTTAAGTTAGTTGAAGATTGTTTGGTGTGCAAACAATCTTAACTTATAAATATAAAGGTATTCTATTATTGATTGTAACACAACACAGAAGTGCAATTGTACATTTAAATAGAAAATTTCAGTTTGAAAGTAGAGAGAAACTTTGCAAAAATAATTCATCTTCTTTCCTCACTTGTTGAAAACGTAAACTTCTTCTTCCCCAATTCAATTTTCTTTTCTTCTTTCATTATCACTATGCAGCAAAATCTTGCAAGCAATGTGTGGTTAATTCCCTCTAGTGAAGAGTGAAGAACAAGAGGAGTAATCAATTAGAAAGAAAGATTCTTTTTCATCAAGTCTTGGTTAAGAATTCATCAAGTTTTGGTGAAATTATTAAGCGGAAATCAGAAACATTTCCAACATAAATGGCTTAAGGAAGGTGATACTAATACAGCTTACTTCCATGCTTCTTTAAGAGCATGATCATAAGAAACACTATCTTAGCGCTTAAAGTTGGAGAAGTTTGGATTGAAGGGATGTCCGATATTAGGTGCACTATGCCAAAAGAGAGCTTTAGCAGCACTTAAAAGCGCTGCCTAAAGTGGCGCTGCTAAAGGTAAAGGTGTCGCATCGCTGTGAAAGAGGGGTCGGCAAGGACAGAAGAGTCACCACCGTTCGTTATTCATCCCAAAAAGAGGAAAAGGAAATGATCAGAGAAAACCTACGAAAAAGGGAAAAGACAGGTCATCGCAACCAAATCTTGGATTCGGGAGTCGGTTACGCAAGGGGAAGGTATGAGCACCCCTCACGTCCGTTGTACTCAACGGGATCCATGCTTGTTGTCTAGTCTATGGGTAAAAAACAAACTATCTAAGGATACTGCTAAACTGGGGGAAACGGAAAGAACTGACTCGATAGGACATCGCCGCCCTATGCTTACGTATCCCCTTGTGCAATGGGAAAGTCAGAGTCAACGTAGTTCGGGAAACTACGGGGGAGGTTGCTCGCCAAGACATCGTGTCTTGTGCCTACGTATTCTCATCTGATATGAGAAATCAGAGCAAAGCGTAATTCAGGCTAACTACGAAAAACGGGATGCTCTCGATCGCACGGGTGCGAGAGAAAAGGTAGACGATACTAGTGCACACATTCTAGCAGTTAGGTGTATTGTTGCTCGACCATTGGAGACTTAGGCATTACCTGTTTGCGGTAGAACGGACGTAGCATGTCATGGGTAAAAGGTACGGGGAATCTAAAGGCTTAGAATAACAGGTTAGTCTCGATAGCACGGGGGTAAGAGAAGGGGAGATTAGTGGTTAGTGTGCTCGCCAAGACATCGCGTCTTGTGCCTACATATTCTCATCTAGCATGAGAAATCAGAGCAGCTGTAGTTCTGCTAACTACGGGAAAACGATCTCAATCGCACGGGGGCGAGAGAAAAGAGGATCTCGATCGCACGGAGGCGAGAGAAAAGGAGTCTCAATCGCACGGGGGCGAGAGAAAGGTCCTAGGCATAGAACGCCTAAACGGGAGGGAATCGGATCGGGACGCACACGCTAAATCCTAAGACGTAGGAGCGAATGTGTCACATATCGCCCAAAGGGCATACACTAAACACTCTAAACGAGAGAGAGGAAACCCCCCACTCATCATTTCCCATGTATCTATCGCTTACTCACAACGCTCGGCGATTGAATAAAAGATTGTAGTTATAAAACGTTACTGAACGAAGTGGTTCCGTTGACCCTTGACATTGCGTGCAAGCTTTATTTCCAAGCCCCTCCTCTTTGATCCTTAATGATGATGTTTCGAAATACAGCTCGAAAGGGTCAAAGTGAATTAAATTGGGTCCAATGTAACGCTAAACTGTAGCTCGACTTATAAGGGAAGTCAAGCTATAGGAGGTAGCGTATTGATATCCGTGATATGGACAAGATAGAGAAATGATATTGAGGATCATTCTCTAATTGAATCGTGTCGCATAGACCAAAAGAGGTATGCGATCTCGTCTTAACCACAAACATAATGTCGATTAATCGAAGGTAGCCTATCGCGATCCCAAAGTAAAGAAAATGACCCAAATGGTCATCTTCCATAGATTTGAAATCGGGAAGGTTATCGACTTCGAAAATCTGACGCGTACAAAAACAAGACTTCATCGATCACAGAAAGTCAAAATAAAATCGAAAGAAGAAGAAATGAGGAGAGAAAAGAGGTGGTCTCGGATCCAACATTATTCATCAATAATTTGACTGGTAATGGATTACAGAAGTGTCATCATCGACCAAAACAGATGAAATAAAATAAAGTCGAAAATGAGATAAAAGAGAAAAAGTCGGTCTGGGTCTATCGTTTCTCATCAATAATTTGACGGATAAACGACAAAAGTCTCTTCATCGACCTAAAAGGAAAAAATGGAACAAATGTCCAATAACAAATAAGAAATAAGATTACCTCTAAAATATAAAATAATATAAAACTCTAATATTATAAACTAGATATTAAAAAATAAAATATGTATATAAACTCTAAAAGAAACAATAATATATTCTAAAATAAACATAATATATAATATATAAGTTTAACAGTAAGTTTTTAAAACATATTTACAAAATATTCTATACAATATATTAATAATTTATAAAAATACTAATTTATGCAAAAATTATATTACAATTAAAAAGAAAAAAAAAAGGGGGTCAGAACAGGAAAACGGGGGTGGTATACGAATAACCAAACGGGCCAGAGGCCCACCAACATTCGTCCAAAAAGTCAAAAAAATAAGAAATAAAAAACAAAAAAAGAAACAGATCCTCTCCTCTCCAAGCCCTTCGATCTCAGCCTCTCTCTATTTCTCTCTCACTCTCGGTTCAATCTATCTCTCTGTTCAGCAAAATCTCTTCCATATCTCCATTTCTGTTCATCTCAACCTCCCCGTTTTTGTTGTTACTGTGTGGTCTGAGGTTCGTTAATGGTGTGTTGACTGTTGAAAAATGGGTTGTGGGTCGGATTGTTCTTCCTCGTGAGAAAAAAGAGGGTTCTGTGACGGTGATTTGGGTTGTGACTGGAAGTTTTGATGTTTGGTTGAGGTGAAAGAGGAAGAACCGCGGTTTGAGTTTAGATTTGTTGTTTGAAGATTTATGGACGAAAATGGTGGATGTTGATGAATATGGAATGGGTTTCGGAATAGATGAATGTGTGTGTCTCAAATCTGGTGGTTCAAGGTTTCGGAAGTGGTGGATTTGTGGGTTTCAGTATTTTCGCGGATAGATCGTGAGCCGGAAGAAAATGGTGAAGTTTTTGGGTGGTTCGGTTGTTGAAGATGTTGAAGTGCAGAAATGGGTTATGGTGAGGGCGGTGAATGTTTCTGGTTGGGATTGTTTCGAAGGTTGAAGAACAATGAAGGAAATGTTGAAGCTCTGGTAAAGATTTCTGGGCTTTTGGAGAAGTTTGATTTGAAGAATGTTGCGGTTCTTGCTGTGAAGCTTTTGAGGTTGAGATTTGGAAAAAAGAGAAATGGAAGTTGGTTGTGAGAAGATGAAGTTGAAGGGATTAATGGAAGTTTGAAGTTTGATGAGGATGAATGAAGATGGTGAATAGTGAGGCCGATGGTTTGAAGAGGAGATGGAGGCGCTAGGGTTATATACCCACTGTTCGACATGTGGCAGCCTTGTTTGACTGTTAATCCTGATTAAAAGACTGCTAATGATGATGTTGATTAATGATTAATGCTAACGATAATGCTGTTAATTAAAAGGAATCATAATGATTAAATTCTAACTATTAAATATAAATAATCTAACTCTAAAAACTAATCCAATAAATTCTAATCTAACTCTTAATTAAATCCTAAACCAAATTAAACAAAATTCTAAATCCTATTCAAAAATCTATTTTCTTTCTAATAAATCTAAAAGAAAAAAAACTCTAAATTCTATTCCGATTTAATTTCTATTTAATAAAAACTAAAACTATATATTAATTCTAAAGCTAAAACTCTAACAAGTTAAAAGCTATTCTAAAGTTCTACTTTAATTCTAAACAAAAAAACCAACTTCTATTAAAAACAA